GCAGGTGTTGTGTTAGACACTCCAGAATCTGCTGCAGGTGTTGTGTTAGCCACTCCAGCAGCATGCTGCAGGTGTTGTGTAGAAACTCCAGAGTCTGCTGGCTGGTGTTATTGTTAGACACTCAGTGCCTGCTTGCAGGTGTTGTGTTAGACACTCCAGAGTATGCTGCAGGTGTTGTGTTAAGACACTCCAGAGGCCTGCTGCAGGTGTTGATGTTAGACACTCCAGAGTCTGCTGCAGGTGTTGTGTTCAGACACTCCAGAGCCTGCTGCAGGTGTTGTGTTAGACACTCTCCAGAGTCTGCTGCAGGTGTTTTGTTAGACACTCCAGGAGTCTGCTTGGCAGGGTGTTGTGTTACCCACACTCCAGAGTCTGTGCAGGTGTTTGTGGTTAGACTCCAGGCCTGCTGCAGGTGTTGTGTTAGACACTCCAGAGTCTTGCTGCAGGTGTGTGTTAGACACTCCAGAGTCGGCTGCAGGTGTTGTGTTAGACACTCCAGAGTCTTGCTGCATGTTGTTGTGTTTAGACACTCCAGACGTCTGCTGCAGGTGTATGTTAGACACTTCCAGAGTCTGCTGCATGTTTATGTTAGGACACTCCAGAGTTGCTGCTGTGTGTGGTGTTAGACACTCCAGAGCTGCTGCATGTGTTGTGTTAGACACTCCAGATGCTGAAGGTGTCTTGTGTTAGACACTCCAGAGTAGCTGCATGTGTTGTGGTGTGTTGACCACTCCAGTGTCTGCTGGCAGGTGTTGTGTTAGATACTCCAGAGTCTGCTGCAAGGTGTTGTGTTAGTCACTCCAGAGTCTGCTGGCAGGTGTTGTGTTAGGACCACTCCAGAATTCTGCTGCAGGTGTTGTGGTTAGACACTCAGAGTCTGCTCAGGTGTTGTGTTAGACCACTCCAGAGTTGACTGCAGGTGTTGTGTTAGACACTCAGAGTTGCTGCAGTGTTGTGTTTAGACACTCAAGAATCTGCTGAAGGTGTTTTTCTTGTTTGACACTCCTAGAGTCTGCTGCAGGTGTTGTGTTAGACACTCCAGAGTCTGCTGCAGGTGTTGTGTTAGACCCTCAGAGTCTGCTGCAGGTGTTGTGTTAGACACTCAGAGTCTGCTGCAGGTGTTGTGTTAGACACTCCAAGAGTCTGCTGCAGGTGTTGTGTTAGACACTCCAGGGAGTCTGCTGCCAGGTGTTGTGTTAGACAACTCCAGAGTTCTGCTGCAGGTGTTGTGTCTTACTGTTTGATCTGTAAGGGACAGTTACTGATAAGTTATTACTGTTCAGTTACTACTGTCAGTTATTAATGTCATTATTACTGTCAGTTTTTCTGTCAGTTATTTACTGTCAGTTATACTGTTTTTAAGATAATACTCTCAGTTATTACTGTCAGTTATTATTACTGTAGTTATTACTGTCAGTTATTACTGTCAGTTATACTCTCAGTTATTCTGTCAGTTATTATGTCAGTTATTACTGTGAGTTATTACTGTCAGTTATTACTGTCAGTTACTAATCTCAGATTTTACTGTCAGTTATTTACTGTCAGTTTTTACTGTCAGTTGATACTGTCAGTTACTACTCTTCAGTTATTACGTTTGTTATGACTGTCGTTATTAATGTCAGTTATTACTGTCTGTTATTACTGTCAGTTAATTACTCTCAGTTATTACTGTCAGTTATTATGTCAGTTATTACTGTCAGTTACTACTTCACTTATTCCTGTCAGTTATTACTGTCAGTGATTTATGTCAGTTATTACTGTCAGTTATTACTGTCAGTTACTAAACTCTCAGTTATTACTGTCCGTTTTACTGTCCAGTTATTACTGTTCAGTTACTCTGTCAGTTACTACTCTCAGGTATTACTGTCAGTTAGTACTGTCAGTTTATTATTGTCAGTTATTTCTGTCGGTTATTAATGTCAGTTATTACTGTCAGTTACTACTGTCATTATTACTGTCAGTTATTACGTCAGTTATTACTGGCAGTTATTACTGGCAGTTACTACTGTCAGTTATTTCTGTCAGTTATACTGTCAGTTATTACTGTCAGTTATTACTGTTCAGTTAGTTCTGTCAGTTATTACTGTCAGTTACTACTGTCAGTTATTACTGTCAGTTATTACTGTCAGTTATTACTGTCAGTTATTACTGTCAGTTATTACTGTCAGGTTACTCTGGCAGTTATTACTGTCAGTTAGTACTGTCAGGTATATGTCAGTTATTACTGGTCAGTTTATTACTGTCAGTTATTACTGTTCAGTTTTTAAACTGCAGTGTTTATTGTAGTTATTTACTGTAAGTTATTATGTCAGTTATTACTGTAGTTATTACTGTCATCTCATTACTGCACTCATTACTGTCAGTTTACTACTGTCAGTTATTACTGTCAGTTATTACTGTCACTCATTACTGTCAGTATTTACTGTCAGTTATTACATGTCAGTTTTTTCTGTCAGTTATTACTGGTAGTATTACTGTCACTCCATTACTGTCAGTTATTACTGTCAGTTATTACTGTCAGTTATTACTGTCACTCTTTACTGTCATAATTACTGTCAGTTATTACTGTAGTTATTACTGTCAGTTAATACTGTCAGTTCTTACTGTCAGGTATTACTGTCCAGAGTTATTACTGTCACTCTTTACTGTCATCTTACTGTCAGTTATTACTGTCAGTGTTACTGTCACTCATTACTGTCAGTTATTACTGGTCAGTTATTACTGTCAGGTTATTAACTGTCCAGTTAGTCTGTCAGTTATTATGTCATTTATTACTGTCACTCCATTTAGGTCACTCATTTACCTGTCAGTTATACAACCACACACACACACACCACCACACAAAGGCACTGTACACGGTACGTGGGCCCTACTAGAGTAGGCAGCACCAGTTTGGAACCCGCATCTGGTCAAGCACGTTAAGAAATTAGAGAAAGTGCAAAGGTTTGCAACAAGGTTAGTTCCAGAGCTAAGGGGAATGTCCTATGAAGAAAGGTAAAGGGAAATCGGCCTAACGACACTGGAGGACAGGAGGGTTAAGGGAGACATGATAACGACATACAAAATACTGCGTGGAATAGACAAGGTGGACAGAGACAAGATCTTCCAGAGATGGGACACAGAAACAAGGTGTCACTCTTGAAAGTTTTAGACTCAGATGAGCCACAGGGATGTTAGGAAATATTTCTTCAGTCACAGAGTGGCCAGGAAGTGGAACAGTCTGGTGAGCGATGTAGTGGAGGCAGGATCCATTTATAGCTTTAAGCAGAGGTATGATAAAGCTCACGGTTCAGGGAGAGTGACCTAGTAGCGACCAGTAAAGAGGCGGGGCCAGGAGCTAGGACTCGACCCCTGCAACCTCAATTAGGTAAGTAACACACACACACATTATATATATATATAATATATATATATATATATATATATATATATATATATATATATATATATATATATATATATATATATATATATATATATATATATACACACGTAAAATATCAGGAGAAGAGTGGTGGAGCACCTAGAAAGGAATGAGCTTTTAAAGGACAACCAGCAGGGTTTCAGTGCAGGGAAATCCCGTGTCACAAACCTACTGGAGTTTTAGGACACGGTGACAGAAGACAAGAGAGAGAGGGGGTGAGTAGACTGCATTATCTTGCTTAGGTCTTGCCATGGTCTTGTCATGGTCTTGCCATAGCCTTGCTATGGTCTTGCCATAGTATTGCCATAGTCTTACCATAGTCCTGTCATGGTCTTACCATGGTCTTGCCATGGTCTTGTCATGGTCTTGCCATGGTCTTGCCATGGTCTTGCCATAGTCTGTGTCAAAGAAGACTTTTGACACAGTCACACACAAGAAATCAGTGCAAAAGCTGAAGGATCAGGCAGGTATAACAAGGAAGGCACTACAATGAATCAGAGAATACATGACGGGAAGGAAACAACGAGTCACGTTACGTGATGAGGTGTCAGAGTGGGCGCCTGTGACGAGCGGGGTTCCACAGGGGTCAGTCCTAGGACCTGTGCTGTTTTTGGTATATGTGAATGACATAACGGAAGGGATATATTCAGAAAAGGTCCAATTTGCAGACGACGTGAAGCTAATGAGGAGAATTCAGTCGGGTAAGGATGAGGCAGGACTACAAAAAGATCTTGACAGGCTGCAAGCTTGGTCCAGCAACTGGCTTCTGGAGTTTAACCCAACCAGCTGCAAAGTCATGAAGATTGGGGATGGGCAAAGATGACCCCCAGACAAAATACAGGCTGGGTGGCCAAAGACTACAAACATCACTCAAGGAAAAGGATCTTGGGGTGAGTATAATACCGAGCACATCTCCTGAGGTGTACATCAACCAAATAACTGCTGCAGCATATAGGAAACTGGCAAACCTAAGAACAGCATGTCGACACCTGAGTATGGAATCGTTCAGGACACTGTACACCGTGTACGTCAGGCCCATATTGGAGTATGCAGCACCAGTTTGGAACCCACACCTGGTTAAGCATGTCAAAAAATTTGAGAAAGTGAAAATGTTTGCAACAAGACTAGTCCCGTAGGTAAGGGGAATGTCCTACGAGGAGAGGTTAAGGGAAATCGACTTGATGACACTGGAAGAAAGGAGGGATAACGACATATAAAATACTGTGAGGAACTGACAAGGTGGACAGGTCAGAATGTTCGAGAGATGGGACACAGAAACAAGGGGACATAGTTGTTGGAAGTTAAAGACTCAGATGAGTCACAGGGATGTTAGGAAGTATTTCTTCAGTCACAAAGTTGTCAGGAAGTGCAATAGTCTTGGAAGTGATGTAGTGGGGACAGGATCCATACATAGCTTTAAGAAGATGTATGATAAAGCGCATGGAGCAGAGAGAGTAGACCTAGTGACCAGTGAAGAGGCGGAGCCAGGAGTGACTCAAACCCTTCAACCATAACTAGGTGAGTACACACACACAACATAGTCATAAGTACAAATAAAACACAAGAGGTTACATACTGGTGGTGGTGACTCGGAGTAGGCCTCAGACGGGGCGTAGGTTGGAGGGAGGGAGACAGTGTCCCCAGGCATGTCTGCCTTCTCCGTCATGGCTACACTGAAAAGCGATAAAAAAACAACAATTCACAGGAATGGAAACTGAGGAGGAGCCAGGCACACCACTTGTCGCGTCGGAGTTGCTAGAGAAACTCCCCGCCAGCACCTGCCACACACACCCTATATTACCTCTCTCATGTTGCACTCTCTCACAATATCCTGCAATACTTTACGCTTATTTGTCTTGTATTTATTCCTGGTTGATGATGAGTTAGGGAGAGTGATGATGAGTGAAGTGTGGCCAGTCTATTGTTGTAAAAGATGAGAACTTTGAGAGAGGTATGCGGAAGATTTTGGGGTAAATGTTATGAGAGGTGGGCAATATGTGTTGTGGTTCCCTCACACACACACACTTTCCAATGATGACGCTTTTATTCAGATTTCAGCAGGAGCAACATTCTGAAGGTTCCGCTCTCCTCTAGGCTCGTTATTTACACCAGGCAACATACCAGACACACCACGAGCATACATCAACACTGACAGTACAGTGATCACCTCTTATCTTAGATCAGAAACTTGTTCAGTAACAAGTAGAGCTGAGCCAACCTAACTTAGAGGGGGTGAAGCAGAACAGCTCTACCCAGCTTGTCATTCTCACCGTTATGCTCCCACTACACTCACTCCCACTACACTCACTCCCACTACACTCACACTACACTCACTCCCACAACACTCACTCACACTAAACTCACTCACACTACACTCAATCCCACAACACTCACTTCACATTTAAAACTCACTCACCCCTACCCCCTCACACTAAACCCCACTCCCATCCCAATCACCCCCCACTCAACACTCCCACAAAAAACTCACCCCCACTACACTCACAAGACTACATTTCACCCCCACTACACTCACTCCCACAACACCACACTACACTCACTCCCACAAAAAACCTAAATCAAAAACTAAACTCACTCAACTAACCAATCCCACAACGCTCCCCTTCACACTACCACTCACCCCCACATTACCCCTCACTCCCACAACACTCACCCCCAACACAAACACTCACTCACAAAACCCACTCACTCCACAACACCACGCACTAAAAGCTCACTCACACTACACTCTTTCCCCCAAAACACTCACTCACAGAACACTCACTCACAAAACCCACTCACATTTACATTCACCCACATACACCACACAAAAATCACTACCAAACACCCCACTCACCTACTTTCCCACTCACCCTAAAAAAACCACACAAAAACCACTCACACAACACTAAAACACTGCATTCACTCCATTTACACTCACACAACACCACAGAAAAACCCCACTCACAACAACACTCCACTAAATTCATTTCACCCAACACTCCCCAGAAAAACCTCACTAAAACAACACCCACACTACTTCACTCACACTACACTCACAAAACACCCCACACTACCCAAAACAACACCAAAAAACACTCCCCTTCAAACAACACTCACACTACTTTTCACTCACACAACCTCACGAACACTCACTCCACAACACCACACTGCATTCATTTCACACTACACTCCCCAAAAACACTACTCACACAACACTCCCTCACACAACACTCACAAAACATTTCACCCCCCAAAAACATTTCATTTCACCAACCCCTTCACACAACCTCACTACAACAACATTTCCACAAAAAACACTCACACAACACTCCAAACAACACTCACACAACACTAAACCCACAAACACTAAACCACACAACACTCACACAAACACCACACAACACCCCCCCACCCCAACACTAAACAAAAAAAACTCACACAAACCCCTCACTCAACAACACCATTTACACAACACTAAAACTCACACAACCCCAAATTCACACAACCCTCACAAAAACACTCACTCCCAACACTCACCCCAAACACTCACCACAAAAACCCCCAAAATCACACAACACTCAAAACAACACCACTCAAAAACAACACTCACTTACATACATTCACCACACTTATTCACACAACACTTCACCACACATCACTCACCACACTACATTCACCACACAACACTCACCCAACACACACAACACCCCAAAACAACACACACAACACTCACCACCAAAAACCCAATTCACACAAAACTAACCCCCAACCCTCACCACACAACACCCACTCCAAAAACCCACACACCCCCACCATTTCACCCCTTTCACTCATTTCACCTACATTAAATCACACAACACTCCCCACAACACTCAAAACAAAAACTCACCCCAAACACACAAAACACTCACAACAACCCACACAACACTCACTCAAAAAACCCACTCACAAAAACACCCCATTTTCACACAACACTCACTCACACAACACTCAAAAACAACACTCACTCACACAAAAACTCACTCACACAACACTCACACAACATTCCACACAACACCCAAAAACATCACAAAACCCCACATACACTTACTCACACAACACTCATTTCAACCCCTAAAACCTCCTACACTACGCTCACCACACAACACCCCACACAACACACACACAACACTCACAAAACACTCAAAACAACACTTATTTTAACTACATTCACTCCATTTACACTCACAAAACCACTCACCACACTACACTCATTTCAAAAATACGCTCACTCACAAAACACTCACCAACCCCACACAACACTCAAAAAACACTCACACAAAATTACTTACACAAACATTCCCCTTCTTTCAAACACTCCCCCAAAACCCACTCACTCAAAAACACCACACAACACTCACCCCCAAAAAACTCACTCACCAAACACCCCAAAACAAAAACACTCACAAAAAACACCACAAAACCCTTTCCTAAAACACAACACTCACAAAACACTCACTCCCCACAACACTCACAAAAAAAACTCACAAAAACACTCACCCAACACTCAACAAAACCTCACAAAAACACTCACAAAAACACTCACACAACACCCCCAACAACACCACTTACACAACACTCAAACTCTCACATTTCACTCACTCACAAACACTCATTCACATACTCTCACTCACATACGCTCCCCTCTCAAAACACTCACTCACACAACCTCACCAACAACACTAAACTCACACTACATTCACCCCACACTACACTAAACCAAAACACTCACTCAACCAACACTCACTCACACAACGCTCAAACAACACCACTCCACAACACCACAAAAAACACTCACCCACACAACACTCAAAAAACACTCCATACACTCACTCACACAACATCACTCACACAACATCACTCACACAACCCCTCCCTCCAAAACCCTACACAACACTCACTCCCCAAAACACTCACACAACACTCACCCCCCACAACACCCCACTCAAAACAGAAACTCACTCACACAACACTAAAACCAAACTACCCTCCCCTTCAAACAAAACGCTCACCACACAACACTCACTCAAAAACACTCACTCACACTACATTCCTCACACTACGTTTCACACAACACTCACCACACAAAAAACTCACTAACACTAAATTAAAACCACATTCACTCCACAACACTCACTCACGCAACACTCACTCACACTACTTCACTCCCACAACCCCCCAACCAACACACACAACACTCAAAAAAACACTCAAAACTACACTTACTCACCCCAACCCCCCTTCCCCTTAAACTCACTCACACTACACTAAACTCCCACAACACTCACTAAAAACAAACACTCATTTCACACTACACCACCAAACTTCGCTCACCACAAAAACACTCACCACTAAACCACTCACAAAAACATTTCACCCCACACTACATTCCTCCCCACAACACTCACACAACACTCACAAAAACCCCCCACTCAAAACAACACTCACTCACACAAACACTCACACAACCCCAAAAAAACCCCAAAAACACTCCCCAAAATAAATTTCATTTCAAAAAACCCCCCATTTACACAACATCACTAACATACTTTTCACTCACACTACAACCCCACAACACTCACTCACACAACACTCACTCAAAAACAACACTCACCCCAACACTTACTCACACTACATTCACTCACATATTTTTGAAAAAAATGGCATTACCATTAAGTTTTAAAGACTTTTATTTTAACTTAAAAGGAAAAATCATCGTCTACACAGCCGCCCCTGCGGGACGAGGTCTAGAAGCGGTCGAAACCATTTTCAACATGGGCCCGTCAAGAAAAATTAATTTTTTAAGAAATTTTAATTACCCTTAAAGGGGGTTTATGTCAGCATATTTTATTCACTGATGGCTTTACAAAATACATACTTTTTTGGACTCAAAAAGGGCCAAAACCTTACTGCCGATATAGGTTTTATTACAAAACTCCTTGCGACTCAAGAAAATGCGCAGGTTTCCCCCCTACCAACAAAATTCGTAAAACCCACCTTGCTCTTGAACGTGAGCTATGGTGTTCTTTTACAACCCTTTGACAGGTAATCGGGACTTGTAGGAAACTGAAGTGTCCTTGGATTTTTCCCCGTCTTTTTCCCTTGTCCCAGGAAACGCACACTTGTACAATTTTTTCCCCAAGAATTTTTCTTTATTGTTCCCAAAATTTTTCACAAAAAAGCTGATTTTTAAAATTCTCTTAAATGTTTATTGTGTTTTATGAGACACTTTGTTCCACTTAAAAACACAGATCAGTGTTTTTTTGCTGGTATCCTGCGTCAGTGTCCCTCTCAGTAGAGTCAAAAATAATCAGAAGCGCCACAGCGGGCCCCCCGCCGTCCCCTCCCCTACACAAAAAAAAAACTGACCAAGTAATTTTTTTCTTCCTTGCCAATTCCTTTGATGAAGCAAAGCAAATGTTTGATTCTTTTCTGTTTTTAAGCAAAAGACAACAATGTCCACTATCTTTTACTAGGTAAAAAAATTTGGGGGAGGTTTTTTCCCTTTAATTTTTCCTTTTCTAAAGTAAGGGGATGTACTGTCTCTTAAAAAATACAAATTTGGAAACAAATTTGGGGCCTGCAAGGAAACAAAAGGTCATTTGACCCCCGCAAACCCCTTTCCGGATCTGTGATCAATTAATCACGTAGCAGTAAAAAAAGAAAATTTGCCCCTTCTGAGAGGGGGTGGGCCCCCCCAGGGCTGAAAGGGGCCGAAAAAGGGGTGGGAAAGGGGCCC